CGTTCCTCCTGCCCACCTAAAATTAAAGTCTCCTCAAACTTTGCAGAAGGTAAGAAATATAAAAGGAAAGCTAGCATGCTCTGGGTTGAAAAAAAATGTTTCACTGAGGGTTAAACTCAGTGACTAGTTTTGTCTCTAGCTTTCTAAAACCCATCAAGTAAACTGAAGTAAGTTTCAGTATGAAAGAATTAAACGAGGGAGATGAAAACAATTCCTTTAGAAAGATTTCACATTAGATTTGAGACTATTTTTTGTGGCACACATTTGTCAAACAACATGAAAAGCTTTAGTCCATCCAAATCCTAATTTCTTATGTCCAGGAAATAATAATAATGATGATAATAATAATAATATTAATAATAACAACAATGATAATTGCATTATTCAGAAGTACCTCCTAGCCATGAGCTGGTCATTCCTTCTAGAACGATGGCTGATGCACTCCATCATTCTTTGTATCACCAGCCAGGCTTGGAAAGTCTTTGGACCTATCAAAAGGATACACAAATGTATTTCTTTGTGTAGATGACTGGTATCTAAAGCCCATCATATGTGAAAACCACGGGCACAGAAGCTTGTGTACATGGCTGGCCACTCAACTCAGTATTAGGTACAAAGCATTGCATGTTCCAGCTGTTCTGAAGCACCTGTGTATTAGAAGAGACTTTATATTTCATCTAAATTGTTTAATTATTTAAACCAAAGCAAAAGGTGTCTTGCCTGTTCCCCAGGAACACACTAGTTAACTTTACACCCGGTGTCCCTTGTGTCCCAAGTCAGGATGCAGCACCAGTCTGCAGCTCTCCTCTTGCCCACCACAGAAGCTCAGGGCAGCTCTGGCATGGAGCCGCAGCCAGTGAAGAGGACACGGGCCAGGAGTGAACGAACACCACCTCCCCACGTCCTCCTTCATCTCCAGTTAATGCCTGAACCATCAGAAAGAGCTCTGCTCTACTGCCCATGGCTCCAGCCCCCATGGGTTATGGATGGCGCACATAGGCAGTGTGGGCAAACACCAGGCTGCGCTTTTATAGAAATATTTACCTTGCTATCTGCTGCCTTGGGGCCCTGGGAGACATCTGCTCCCAGCCTCCGTGATGCTGTCTGGAGACCAGTGCTTTCAGCCTCATGGATGCGGGCAGCATCAGATGTTACCTCTCCCAGCTCGCTTGAGCCAGGAGCCTCCTTTTGCTACAGGCTGTGTCTCACAGACCCCTGCCCTGCCTGGCATTTGCTGCGGCTTGGGAAAACGGTGGGCGTGAAGGTAAGGGGCAAGATGCAGAGGAAAAATGCTCTCCTCCTCCCCTGCCTGCATGCCATTAAAAGTGCTAAATCTGCACAGCTGTAACCCGGCGCTGTCACCATTGCTCCCAGGTCAGCCGCATCCCCTGCTGTGAGTGAGGGGACACGGCAGAGTCAACAGCAGGCCCACGGCATGGAGCCAGGGCAGAGTGCACGGAGGGTGTGGGATTAGGAGGCTCTAGAGCAGAATGCCAGGTGTAGGACTTTCACCTCCCTAGTACAGCTGGAGCAAGGTCACCCAAACACGTCTTACCCTGCTGCGAGGAGGCTCAAGCCAGGTGGTACCACAGCTCTTCCTGCCCTTCGTGGACAGAGCTACACAAGCATCCCCAAATCGATCCATACGCTTTTCTCACACCTTCCTCGGGCTCGTCCAGCTCTTCAGGGCTGAACGCATGCCATGAGACAGCGCCCACCCCAGGCACGTAAACATGAGTGCGACAGCACATCTGCTTGACCCTCCGCTTTGCTGCCACCACGGCTCAGGGCAGGCTGTGGAGGCCAGGATGCCAAACACTGGTTTCTCCTTTGCCGCAGCTCACGTGGGAGGTTTTACTCCAGCCAGGCTCCCCGGGCTGGCCCGCTGTGTTGCAAACCATCGCCATAAGGCCCAGGGGAGGACAAACAGCAGCTGGTGTGAGGACGGGCATGAATTATGCATGTGCCAGCCTCCCTGGGGAGCAGAGGGCACCTGCTGCAGGGCACCTCCCGCTGCAGAGATGATGGCTTTTGCTCCACAGACCTCACAGAAACACAGCACCGGACAAAGTGACGCCACAGTCGAGTAAAGCGTGGCACCCTGGTGACAAAGCCAGGAGGGCTGCGCGTCCTCCCTAGGTCACTTTTGCTGCTGGGAAGCTCTCAGGGCTGTGGAGACAAGTGGCGAGGAAGAGGAGAAACCAGTCAGGGTTTTTGGCAGGATGGCCCACATATCCAGGACCTGGCTCAAGGAGAAAGTTTGTTAGCAGTCAGGCTGCTCTCAGCACCTGGGATTCAATGGACCACTGGAAGACAGTGACCTGCAGCCGCAAGGATGCTCTGGTGCCTGTGCCACAGTGCTGAGTGGCCGTCCTTCCATCCCCACCAGTGTGCGTGGTGCTGGCCATGATCCTTAGGAAGAAAAATGAAGAAAAAGCAGAGCAGGGCACAGAAACCGTAGAAGATCTCCCAGAGTGTCTCCATCAAACTTGAGAAATGTTACAATGCTGCCTTGCTTTGTCATGGAAAACCAGGTGCCAGGAAGGGGTGGGAATACGCCGAAATTTAATATTCAGAAAAACACACCTGTGCTTTTTCTGATTTCCAGATTGTAAAAAAGAATGCAGGAGAACAGTATCATCTAGTTTGTCTTAAAAGATTTTTTCTATTATATAGGTATTTTAATAAATATATACATTCTATATTTCAATATATCTCTATATAATTATGTATTTTTATATATACAAAGCTGCACAACTGATCTCATAGAAAAATTTGCACTTTTCCCTCAAACCTGAGCAAAGCTCACATTTCAAACTGCTGTATGACAGAGCTTTCTCAGCCTGGCCCAGAGGAAGCTTCTGGTTCTGCATATTGCAGATACCTTCTTAAATCAGAAGGTCATGCTGAATGAGCAAAAACCTCTCGCAGAAGTCTGTCATAATCACATGATCACCCTTCTCCATCAGATTTCTCACTTCATTTCAAGCTTGTTTCTGATGTTTTGGGTTTTTTTAAATAGAAAAAAAAAAAAAAAAAAAAAAGACCCAAATTTTATTTTGCATAAAGACTACACTGAATAATAAGAGCAACCTTTTCGCTTTAGAACAACCAACTACCCTTCTGGAGAATTTTCCCTGGTCCAGATAAACCTACCTGGTGTGCTGGTTTCTGGTATTCCACCCGATTCTTTCTAAATATTGTCAGAATATTTGCTTTTCCCCCATTCCTTTCAAATCATCAGATATTCAGATCACCAGATCCGCGGATACTTTTAATACTCCTCCAAACCTACTGAGATTTAAATATTCAGTACATCAGCTGCTTTTAACCCCCTGCCTTCTTTTTAGAGGCTGGGATTCACCATCCCACCCTATCACCTCTCCCTGCATAGCCTGTTCATTCCCAAAAGGCAGACTGGGCACATGAAGTCTGCGTTCTCTAGAGAGGAGCCACAGAGTGACCCATGGGCCCTTTGAAATGCCACATCCCCAGGGTGTACAAACCCACAAACCCACCTCGAAGACCAGGTGGCGTCAACCTCTGGAGCCAGCCAAAAGTTGCGATACAGGGCTGATGCTGGTGATGCACGGCCCAGCCCTGCCCGGCCCACCCACTTCTGCAGAACTTTGGAAAGTGCCCTCCAGGTACTTGTGGGGCTGTGGGCAGCTCCTCGGCAGGACCTGGAAGATGAGTGGATGCGCAGCTGGCATCCCGAGGGCTGCGAGTGCTGCTGGAGTCGGGGGGGGGGGGGGGGGCTGCGTTCCTGGCTGCCCACCGTCCCAACGATGGCTTCACCTGTTGGAGAATGGCTCAGAGACAAGGGTCCTGAGCCCACCGAGCAATTGTATGATCAGAGCCTGCTCTAGCTGCTGATGCTGGGCCTCACTAGGGTTTGCCTGCAGCTGCTCGCAGCTGCTGATACAGGAGGAATGTCAAGGACGCTTCAGCCCTGTGTACCGTGGTGTGTCGAAAACAGGTTAAGGGGAATTAGGAATAGTGGTCTGAGAAACCCAGTGTTATGGTAACGGTGGTCTGAGAAACATTGTGTTACGGTACTGTCGTGTATCGAAAACAAATCAAGAGGAATTAGAAATAGTAGCATGAGAAACTTAGTGTTATGAGAAGCTTGTGCTGTAAGCTAACTGCAGGTGGGTGGACCGTGCGAATACGACCCTTAGAGCTTAAGCCAATCAGCTAGTGACTAGTAGGCATAATAATTATCATTGTCTGTATAAATATATGTACCCTGGACCAATAAACACACACGTTGATTGATGCTCTATCACCCACACTGAACCCGTCTCAGCGTGTCGTTCGTCCGCGGCTCCGCATTCACCTTCAGCTCTTCCAGGAGACATGTCTTGCACGTGGCAGCCCTCAGGATCAGGTGGGACAACAGTGCTGAACACAGAGCGATCGTACACAGAGGGAAATTTCTTCTCCGGGGACTGAGCATCACTCAGAAGCAGCTCGAATCTCCCCGAGCGGAAGGCTTCTTACGGGCAGGGCTGGCAGGAACCAGATCCCGCTGCCCCAGCCAGACCGCACACCAAACTCACGTGGAAGCTCAGCTGCCCCCTTTTTTAACGCTCTAAACCTCAGCTATCCACCCAAAGCAGTGGACAGAGGTCCCCAAGCTGGGCTCTCTCCACTGCATGACCTGGGCGTGCTCCCAGGGACAAGGAAAAGCAGGTATAAGCTGAGAAAAGCCCCTTTGTAGGAGCATCTGAGGGGCTCTTCCCTCCTCTGGTGGGGGAAACACCCAGCAGAAATTCTTTTAACCACCTTGACTGCACAGCCTGCGACTGCATCCGTCCCGCAGGGGTGAGCCCTGCCTGCCGCTCTAGGATGGATGTGGCTCCCAGCCAAACCCTGACAGGCCTGAGCCGGGGAAGAGACGCACGACCAGCAAGGGAGATGTCAGGGGCTGAGGTCCAAAACCATTTATTGAAATGGAAAGAATAGGAAGTTCACATGAAGCCAAAGCTGGACACGCAGGAGGAGGGATGATGCTTTGTCAGGTTTCTTAAGGGGTCGTTGTATTTCTGATCTTCTAAACAGCCTCTTTGCCCCATTCCATAGGATGGTACTTTGGGAAGGTAAGAGGGTTTTTTTCCCCTTCCACTGGAGTGGCATAAAAATAAATCTTTCAACTCACATTATATACATAAGCATGAGCTGTATTTATTTTCTGTGGGAAAATATGACTCTATCAGTACTTAAAATTAAGTATCATTATACTTATTTCTTTATCTTACTGAAAACTTTTTTTTTTTTTACAGTAAATCTGAAATTTTCTCTTTAGGTCAGACAGCTCCACTACTTCTCTACCGTCTTTTCAGGCACAGATGCTTATATGCCAGCCTGTTCCTGCTGTTTGAGAATGACCCTCGCTTCCTATTCAGGTACTTCAGACCTCATCACCCGGGAGAAAAAACTGCTTACCAGCCAACCTGGGCACATCACATCCAGCACAGGAAAACCCAGGGTGTTCGCTACAGGAGCTCTAATCTGGATCCTGTCAAATGGGAACATTTGGGACACAGGGAAACCTGGGGTGGGGAAGGACCAGTACAACACAAAAACACAAGTCAGGATTCACTTTTTTTTTATAAAACAGGCAACATCAGTACAATGTGGCCATAGCCACAGGTGCCTTGCTGAGATGGTGGGAAATTTAATACCAGAGGTGAAAACCTTTCCTATCTTTTTTTTTTTTTTTTTTTTTTTGGGCACACGAGTTTTGCATTTGTGTTGGATCATGCATGTAACTGCAAAGCTTTGGTGGAGCTGGAGGACATCAGCCATCAGAAACCTGCCTGTCCTTCGGGGCGAGGGCTGCCTTGCACAGGCACTGCCAGGGACTGCTGAACCACGAGAGCCAAGTGACAGCCATGGAAGCAGCCTGGGTTTCCAAAAGCCTGGCAAAATGCCCCCAAAAACGCACTCAGTTAACAGTAGAATTGTGAAGAGTGGTGTGATGGAGAGCTTGTTCCACTGGCTTCATGTCAAAGTGTGGGATTTGCCACATGAACATCATACCTTCAACACAGCAGCCTGGATGGGGATAGAGAGCAATCCTTGTTTTCCTTCCAGAGCAACAGTTACTCTCCAAATGCCATTTGAAAGACAGCAGCAACCATAAAAGGCCCAAACATCTCAAAGTTGACTCTCAGTACGATGTGCAGGCAGGATGGGCAGACCCTCACCCCGCCAGGGAAACAAGAGCAAAGAGGTCGGGTGGGCAGGATGAGACGGCAAGTGACACATCCTCCAACTGACCAAGAGATCCTCCAGCTGACCAAGAGCCACACAACTCATGAACACCATGAAATAAAAATGAGGCTGCATGTGCTGGCTGACCCACACTGCAGCCCAACTTGTTCCCATGTCCTGGGGAAATTTCCCCGTCCAGCTCTGCTGCCTGCTACAGCCCTCTCCAGGCCAGGGACACCACCACGGGACCAGCACATGGAGCCTCAGCAGGGGCAGGATGGTGGGAAGTAAATAAAAAAAAAATTAAAATAAAACAAAACAAAACAAAAAACAGCTGAGCCGAATCAACCAACTTCAAGAGCAATGGCAGGACACGTGCGGCAAGGGGAAGGTTTGTCATCTGCAACTTGAAGGCAGCTCCTTCCCCAGGGAATAGTCCTGCTTTGTCCATTCCACTTTTTCTCTCCTAGAGGCAGAAGTCACCGCTGGAGGCATGAGGGTGATCTGGCAGCGGTTCTGCCCTGGGGTGCAGCTGGCGGGGGGGAGCCAGGCTCCCCCCCAGCACCAGGCGGTCTCTGGGGAGTCCCATGGGCAAAATACAGACACTTTCGGGCTAGAAGAGAGAGAAGAGAGAGAGTGTTGAGGCATTTTGCAGTGTTTTACTAGTCGTGGTCAGGCTGATGCCCAGAGGAGACTGGCAGGAGGGGGAACAGGTCTGCCTCTGCCCCGGGTGGTACATGGGCTTAGCCACACATGGCCCCACACCTCCCCGTGGGTCCTCTCTTGAAAATGCCAGCCCATCACTTCATTGACAAGAGGCTAAAAGCACACAGAGCCCCCAGCCTCCTCAGCTGTCACTGATTTTCACCTACTGATCTGCTAATGGAGCTTTTCAGAGCCTGACCGGGTATCACAGCCCTGCAGCTCAATCACAAAGCCTATCTGTAAATCACAGGCACCCGGGCTGCATTGTGAAGCAAGCACCTGGGTCTTGCACCTTTGTTGTGCTCCTCCTGGCAAGCCAAAAACACGCTAGCCACATCAGGTGTCCACCAAGCTCTAGAAATGTAGGACCAGTGAAGAACAGCCCCAACACAACCTCCCAAACCCCTGAGCGGGACCAGAGTCAAGTTCTTCAACAGAGCTAGAAGGTCCCTGGTGTATCCAGTTGGAGGAGATGGAGAATGGGAGGACATGAGGTGGAGGGTATGGCCTTCAGGAAGAAGCAGAAGATGCTTAGACAGAATCTGATGGCCCCAGAGGTTAACACAGAGATCCCCATGAGACAGCAGGGCACCCTTCCAGTAGCAGATGTGTGGTGCCAAGGAACAAGCTGCCATGGGGACAGGAATCACCAGGGCAGGGCTGGATAAGCAGGGAGGTAGGACAGACCCACCCTAGACATCTCACCCTGCCTGGTGGTGCCATGGGCTAGGGGAGCCTCACGGAAGAGATTGGGCTCCTCCAGGACCTAGACCAGTTCTCCATGCTATCAGCCCCAGCCCAGAAAGTTGATGGTCCTCGCAGACATGCATGGCATCTGCATCAGGGAGGGGGGAAAGGGCCAGGCAGCCTTCACTCCCTGTTTGCTCCTCAAGCAGCCCCGGTTTGGGCTGTTGGCCCCAATCCCAGGGGAATCACTTGCAAGGACATCGCTGACGGGCACCCTGACGCTCAGGTACAATGCTACAGGCCTCGGCTGGTGACGCCGGAGGGTCAGCAGCAGCCAGGTGGGCTCTTGGTAGGGGTTGTGCACGGACAAGGGGACACTTCCACAGAAGAAAGACCTTATGGTACAGATCATCATCTCGCACGTGCTTTGTACCACCCATCAAAGCTTATCAGTGCATGGCTGGAATTACATCCTGTACAGAAATGGCAATTAAACAAACCATATGGAAATCAGATGCAGAGACAGTCACCCTCTAAAGGGAAGAACCCACGCTCTGGTCTTTTGCTCTCCAACTCTGGGTGCAAATAAAAACTCCTAAAGTCTTCCTTTCTGGCCACGCACCGGCTAGAGCAAGGTGATTCCTGTCTACCAAGAAGACAGTGCATGCCTCCCTCTGCTGAGACCCCAAGGAAATACCAGCACAGAAGGTACTGAGCACGAGAGTGGAGAAAGGCCCTTACCCTGTGCCTGCTCTCCTGGCTCAGCACGGAGGTGTAGGTCCCGTAGGAGTTCACGGGGGTCTCCAGTGGGCTGCTGATGCTCCCAAAGTGCCCTGCAGCTGAGCTCGGGAAAGGGTGCTGGGGCACAGAGGGAACGGGGCTCAGCTGCTTCTCGGGAATAAGCTGGTATGAAGAGGAGGGGAAAAAAATGGAGCATGGAGCTATCTCTTCCTGTGACCCTATGCTGCTCGCAGTTTCCATGCTGCATAATCCGTTCAGGTTAAAGTGTACTGTCGGCACGCCGGGCCCTGGACCCAAGCAGCCCTGGTGCTGGGAGACCCAGTCTTGGCTGATGCCATAAAAACCAGGCTGAGCTGGGGACCCCAGGAGTGGGGAAACATAGTCCTGCCACGGGCTGGGGCTGCTGCTGGGGAGAAGGTGTGGAGCAGAGTCAGGGCTGTGGGGGCACAACCCATTCATCAGCAAGTGACGTTGTTTCGGCTGCCCGGGTGGTCCCGCGAGGCCCTGGCACTGGCTGGGCAGGAAAAAGGACCGGTGAGCATCCTCCTGGGGGGGATGCAGGGCTGGGAAGTCACCCTCCAGCTGCCGAGCCCGGGGTGGCTCCTGCGGGCAGGGGTCTTCTGGGGGTGAGCCGGGCGCCTTGTCCCACAGGGTTTCTCGTGGTGGCTGGAGGAAGCGGAGCAGACCTTCCTCCCCAGCTGGCCTCCACTGTGACCCACCTCCTGGTTCTTCCTCCTCGGCCGGCTCCAGCAGCAGCGGGGGTGACTGCCCCGGCACAGCGTGGAGGGATTGTTCCCACAGCGGAGCAGGGGGCTGGCCTGGGGCAACGCTGGGCTGCTGGGGCAGGTACTGCGAGTCCTCCTTCTCCACGTGGGCCTGGTACCTAGCAGTGCCTCCCCGTGGGCTCGGGGACGGACCTGGCAGGGGACAGACCTGTTGTCCTCCCTCGTGCTTGCTCACCAGAGTGGTGTGGATGTAGGAGAGAATCTCATTGCTGGCGAGACAGTCGTTCAGGGATGGCGTGCAGTCAGGGTCCATATTGACCATCACCATTTTCTCATCCAGCAGCAGGAGCTCCAGGTCCTCGGCGTTCAACCCCAGGCCCTCCAGCGCACTGAAGAGCTCATTGTTGGAACAACTCTCGTCACTCTTAATTGAGAGCGAGTCCAGGGTGGCCAAGAGAGGGTCCTCCTGCTGCAAATCCACCTGCTCCTCTTTGAGGCTGTCCCCCCTTGAAGAAGCTGGAGCAGCACTCGTATTCCAGGCACCTCTTCCTGCATCCAGCAACGACACGTCCTCGAGGTGGTCCACAAAACTGCTGCTGAAGGAGTGGTTAGGCACGGGAGCTGGATAGGAGGTGTACACCGCCTTGTCCTGTCGCATCACGGCGCCCAGCAGAGAACTGGGGTCAACGCCGTTCTTCTGGGAGCACCCTCTGTGGCTGTGGGAGATCTTCTTGGGCTTGCTGGCTTTCCCTTTGCTCTGGGAAGGGTCAGGGAAGCCCGGGAGAGGGTAAGCGCTTTGATATAAGAGCGCCTCTCCTGTAGCAAAGGTAAAGGGAAGATGCATGGACCGCTTCCGAAGGTGCTCTCCTCCTTCTTCGTCTCTGCAGGGCAGGAAGAGGAGACTGCGGCTTGCATGTGCACAAACACACCCCACAAAGTGCTTCTGCAAGGGGTAATTGTGATTCTTACAAGCCAAAGTCCCCTTGCGACGACCAGCACACGTGTACCAAGCAGAACCACACACATACGTACATTTACACGTGCATTTACATACAAATACACACACACACAAGTATTTTTATATATAGATACACATAAAAGCACACATCTTTAGCCTAACCAAGAGGATATTTAAAAGGCAAAGGGTAATAGAGAGCCCATGTATCCCTACAGCTGCTGCAGAGCAGCCACCAGTCTCCCCAGCATAAGTCTGGACGAGTGCCCAGGACACCAGGGCAAGGATGTGAGGTGCAGGGCACTGCCCAGCGCTCTCCCGCGCGTGGCGTTGCAGAGGGGGATGTGGCTGAACAGCATCAAAGCACAGGATCCTACGGCCGCTCCTTTAAAAGGCACCAAAAACGATGATGAAACGAGCATCCTGCCCGGCTCGGGGAGTCCCAGAGCCCACACCAATGGAAAACGCCAGCCCGTCCCCATCCCAGACGGCACTTACACGAGGGGTCTCTGCGTGACAATGATGTACTCGGGCTTGCTGTTCTTGTAGACGAGCCGCGCGTTGGCCTGCACCCACTTCCAACGATTCTCCTTTGTCAGCAGGCGGAAGACCGTCAGGCCGCTCTCCCCCGTCTTCATCACTGCCGGGAGGAAGCACGCGTGCCGAGGGCTGTCAGCGTGTCACCAGAGGCAGGGCTGCCTCCGGCGACGCTGCCGTTCCCCGCCGGGAGGAGCAGGTAGAGTCACAGCAGTAGCACGGCTGGCACACGCAGGGGATGCCACCCCAGCTAAACACCCCTCGCTACACTCCACCCCAAGCTCCCTGCAGTGACAAGAGCACCACAGCGAAGCATAAAGCAAAGCATCCTACGGGGAAAGAGCTGACGGGCTCGGCGCGGCGGCCAACGGAGCTGCTGCTCGTCAGCCCCAGCCCGCTCAGCAGCCTCAGAGGTGGGCACAAGCGACCAGGAAAGGGACTCTTACTCCTGACATGGTTCTCGGCACAGTACAGCATGTCGGCAGCGTGGATGAACTGGTAGCCAGTGCCGCACATCCGCAGCTCCGCCTCGGTGTAGCCCAAAACGATCTTCCCCCTGTAGAAGACCGAGAAGGCAACCCATTCAGAGGCAGAGCCGGGGTGGGACGTCACCCCGGCACGGTATGGCGTGGCACGCTGGCAGCCGGCAGCATCACCCCTCAAATCAGCTCTGCTGCTTACTTGGCATCGCATGCCAAGGGGGTGAAGTCCAGCTTGTGCTTCGTCCTGAAGATCATGTTCTTGGTTCGGATCTGCAGGATGGACGGTGGCTGCAAAGGGGTGGAGATAGCGAAGAGAGCGAGCTGGGGTGGCAGCGCAGACCCGTCTTCAGACCTTTTGTTCTGCCCATGCAGGAATTTCAGCCTGCCTTGAAGGTTTAAAGCCTGGGAAGAGAAGAAAAGTTCAGCGTCACACAGAAGACTGGATGGAGCGAGAGGAGAAGGAGAAGAGCTGCATGGAAAGCAAGCCATCTCGCTGCAGAGCTGATGCAAATAATCCCTTGTGACTTGTCCCTTGCGAATCCCCACTAAAATAAGACAGAAGATCAAAGGGATGCTACGCTGAGCTCCCCACAGCAGCTGCCCACCACTTTCTCTCCCCACAGCCGCTCGCTGCCGGCCCGGGGCTCGGACACACAGCGGCTGCAGGGCCGAGCACACGCTGCAGTTGCATCAGGGCATCAGGCAACCCATGAGCTGCTTTGCATTTTAACTGAGCTATATCACAGCCCCATCCAGAGCTGTAATATTGCTTCTAAACAAGGCACAATCAGGCCTCTTCGTATCGAGTTTCCAGACTCAAGTAGGATGAGAGGGAGAAACAGGATCGTTACACCTGTGGTTATGAAGGTAAGAACCCCATTAACTTGCAGCAGAGAGCAAGAGGGATGACCACCACCTACTTGGTCTTAAGGCATGTCTTTAACATAAAAACCTAGCAAAACGTGTGGAGAAAAAACACTTTTGTTCAAGATTCAGCATCTACGAGAGGAGAGGAACAAAACCCACATGGAGTGGTTGTAGGTACAGACCAAACCTATGAAAAACGGCAGAAAAATCTCTTTGTTGAGACAGGCAGGTGCTGCGCGTTGCAGAAAGGAGCGCTGGGTCTTTCAAGGCCAACTTTTATGCTACGGCAGTGGCACGAACCCCTTGGGGTGAGCCTGCACCCCTCCTGCTGTGGAGGTCACTGTGCAGGTCTGTACTCACCAAGAAGCCGGAGGAATTATCCAGGAGGCAGCGAAAGCGGCACACAAAGCTCCTTTCCAGAAAGGAGGAGTTTTCTGGAGGCAGCTGATCCGGCTTGTAGGCAACAGCAGAAGAGCCGAGACTCTTCCCCGCTGTGGGAGAGAGGGACTGAGAGAGAAGCAAGCAAGGACCCCCCCCCCCCCAGCAAGAGTTGGAGGTTCCTAGAAAGGACTGGAGGTCCCCAGCACTGGGCACTGCGGTAGTTTGCAGAGCACAGTGACAGAAACTCGAGGAAAGCCACAATGCTTGGATGAAGGCATGGTTTGAACAAGGACACGAGCCCCTGGCGGGCGGTGGCAGGGAGCTGGGCTCCCCGACGTCCACGAGGAGCTACACATCTCGTGCCAGCCAGGGTGCCTGGCTCCCAGCCTGGGTTTACCTGCCAGAAAAGGCTCACCCTCAGGAGCGTGGGGTGGGTTGAGGGCCCAATGGAGGTTGCGCCTGAATTCCTGCTGGTCTTCAGTGTGGATCAGCTCGAAGACGCTCTGGTGCATGACATCTGTCTAGAGGAAAAAAAGCAACTCATGATCTCTGCAGCCTGTCCCCGGGTGCCAGGTGTCACATCCCGCCTGGAAACCGCCTGTCCCAGCCCCGACTGGCCGTATCTCACCCAGTTTCCCTGGTGCTCAACTGAGTCCCTGGCTGAATGAGGTTGGACACCTTCCACCACAGCTGGTACTGGTGGGAACAGACAGCACATCTGGCTCTAAGGGCCCCTTGCCCACGTTGGGCCATCCTAAAGAAGCACTAGCAATACAGCTCCTCTCTGACACGCTCATCCCTGTAACATGGTGTCCTTCAAAATCCTAGTGCTGACCTAAAGGGTGAGATGAAAACATGGCTTTGGGAACAAAAGAGCAGCAAAACCACCCCATCCCTACACTGTTCCTGAGAGAACAAGGCACCTGCTCCTGCTGCCTAGGTAGACACTCCATCTACCCCAGTTGTTGGGGAAAGCCAGCTGTGTGGGAGTAACACCAAACCACAGTAACTAAAGGACTGTAGATAAGTCCCACTTCTACCTAGTGCCTTCCAGGTTACCTGGGTGCCCAGATAACCACAAAGTATTGGAGCCTTAGGGGATTTACCAGGGGTCACCCAGAGGAGTGGGTACCCAAAGGAAATCGCGCAGGGAACCCCAGACACCTCATCATGGCATTGCACAACAGGGCCATGAACTTCATAGCCTGTCAGCGTGGCTGGTGGAGAGCATCTGTGGGCTAGTGAAGTTGTTTTGACACCTCCCAATGACCGTGTCTGGCAACATGGGGTCCAAATTCACCGAGACCAAGGAAAAGCCCCACGCAGCCCCAACGAGACCCTGTGATCCCTGCAGAGCTTCCTCCCTGCAGGGAACTTGGAGCTCTCCTCTATCACCACAGAAAAAAAAACCCACTCTGCAAACCCACCACAGTGAGTCTGAGGTGTCTTACCAACCTGATGAAATCCCAGATAGTCCTGAATCGTATGTGAGGAGTAAAATATCAGTCCTTCCGACGTCACCACCAGCACGAAGCCGTTGAGTGCCTAGGGGAGAGAGAAGACCAGGAGGTACATCATGCTCACATCACCCTTTTCTTAGGACGGTGACTTCCATTCTGCTTGGACACTGGTCACCCAAGTCCTGGGTGGTCCCAGCTAGCAGGCAGCTGAGCCGCTGCCCCACCGAGAGAAAGGTGTAGGGCAGGAGAAGAAGCACAGGAAGCCCTGGAAGGAAAGCAAGTCCTTTCTAACGGCATCTTGCTGTTGTAACACTGGGTACTGCCCTGAATCTCACCAAATCCTCTGATGCACTGTGCAAACAGCTTCTTGGATTCACGCCCTTCCTGAAGGACAGCACTAGAGACCTCCATCCTTGCAACTGCCTCTACCCTGCTGCGGTGCCAGAGCATATGCACCTAAACCACAGTTTTTTGCAGACCTGATGAGCCTGCTTTACCTAGCAGAGGTCAAGGCCTGCAGCTCATTCTCAGATTTTCCTCCACTTGAATAAACTCCATCAACTGAAGGCTAGCTGAAGACAAACAAGGATCAACGCAGGAACAGAGCTGTGCTCACCAAGAAAACAGATGGTACCTTCTGCTAGGTTTCTCCGAGGCCATGTAGGTCTTCTGTACAGCTGTTTGAGCATATCCTAATCCAAACCGATGGAAAATTTTGCATTCATCCCAGGAGAATTTGCTCAGATTCAGATTTGGACATTTATACTTATCCTATGTGAAGAGCAAATAAAAATCTCGGAACTGCTAGTAGAATGACACTGGACACCATCAGGAACTGGTCTGTGCTGGTCTTCTGGTGGAAAGAAGCCTTTCTGACAACCTTGAATCAATACAGCATTTCATGTTGGCTGTGTTGAATGTTGACCCATATCTACCTGGGTGGCTCATGCAGTTCCCAACCTCGTCACAGCCCGGGACCGTCTGGGCAGCCATGCATGGCTTAGGACAGCATGAGGCTGGAAAAGCTGGGGGATGTTCAACAGAGAGCAAACCCACCGTGGAGATCACTGTGTGCTGCCAGCTGGGCATTCCTTGCTGCTGCTTGGCCCGTGTGGATGGGGATCCTGCTGCTTCGGGAGAAACCTGCCCAGCTCCTGGCCTTGTTTGCATCCCTCTTGTCCTGCTGGGTGCCAGAGGAGAGGCTTGGAGACGGACTTTGGTGTGCCTGCCTGGGCTGCCCATGGGCAAGGAACATGGTCTAGAAAGGAGATGCCTCCACTGCCCACTCCTTCCTCCTGCATCGCTCGCCCTGTGGTTGAGGTGGCCAAGCCAACGCTGCGAAGAGCCTTAACCAGTGAAAGTGGAAAAGGTGAATGCTAGAGCATAACAGTTTGGTTTTTGAAACCATACCAAAACCATCCGATTTCTGACAAGCCATTTTTTTTCCAAAGCAGGAGGGAGGGCAGGCTGAGTCTGCCACAGAATCACTGGTTGAGCTCAGAGTACCTTTTCCTTTTGGCAAATAAATGATTCACCCCAAGCTCACGGCTGGCAACAACCCGCTCTCACCCAACCTGCACAGCACCATCCTTCCAGAGCACCACACGGCAGCGAAAGGCCCCAGCACGGGTGTTCGTGCTGGGAAGGGATGTCTGCAGCCACCCGTGCCTGGGATGCACACGTTAGCCACTCCCAGCCACGCTCCTCTTCCTCTGGAGCTCTCTCTCTGCGTGCTGTGCAGATTGACACGATGCTAACGGCCCGTCCTGGCGCACGCGTGCGTTTGCGCATGCCTTCCACCCAAACAGGCTGAATGCTGTGCTCTGTTTCCACAAAACACACTCGAGCTGCTTCACCCGTGCAGGCTTGAAGCACTAAGACCTCCCCACAGAAAAGAGAAAACGCAGCCATCAATCTGAAGTTTCCGATGCATTTTTAATGTTACACAACTTCTGTATTTTACAGTTCACTGGTCCTCCCAGCCTCTCCTTGAGCTCCAGGGCTGCAAAGTCAACATCCAAGGTTTGCATTTCCCAGCAGGAATGGGCTGAGCTGCTCAGAGCCTCCGTCTGCCTCAAGAGGGGTTCATTCCTACCAGCTTAACAAATTTGGGTGTTTTTTCTGAGCTGGCAGACCCAGGGCTGGCAGGACAGGACACAGGAGAAGGGACCAGGGTGCTGGCTGACAGTGTGCTTTGCACCTGGAGATCTGTGAAGATTAGAAGGTGCTGAGGTGCTTCCCTACCAGTTTGGGAGTGTGGCTGCTGTCCCAGGAGCCCTGGCTTTTCACCCCTGCTCTCTGGCACCAGGCAGGAGCTGATAAGCAGAGGAACATTGCTAACACAGGCACTGGCAGGATCCAGGGGAGCAGCCCTAAGTGCTGCAGGCCAACCATGGGGAGCAAACCTCTGTGACACAGAGCCCAGTGCTTTGAAGACCTTGTCATCACCTTGCCAGGGCTGGGAGGAGGCCCACAGGAGTCTCCCCCTGACCCCGACTGGTAGGCATCAGCTTGTGACTCAGTTTCCCCAGCTCTGAAATGATCCTGATACACTTCCAGTAAATACCTTCAAGCCCACGGTGCTGCCTAAGAGAAAAGGCCATGAAAACCCAAGAAACTCACCAGTTTAGCTCGCCAGAAGCTGAAGGGCTTTCACTGCCACGACAGCACCACCCAGCCACCCTTCTCTAAGGACAACAGCTCCCTGTGGGCACCCTCCGACCAGCTCGAAGCAGAAGCTCTCTAGAAGACTGGGCTCCTCCTGCAGCATGGACCCCAGAAGCCTTACGGCTGTCCAAAGCCACTAACGTGGCCGCAGGCAGAGAAGCCACAGTAGCCAGCCCTGGCCTGCTTCCCCCACTTCGTAATGTACAGACATCAGGATTAATTAGGGTCTGGCGTGTAGTCTCAGCCAAGTCCAGCTATTGTTGCTGCCAACTCCTGCTTCATTGTCCAGGTTGGTGTTTCTCCCCCCTTTCCTTCCCTTTCTTCTGGGCACAAACGCTCTCTCTATTTACTGGGGTTGATCTCAGTGTGTGGGAATCTGCTGCAGAGGTTAATTAGTGCTGCCAAATGTACTTTAACCCTTTGAGCAGCTTCAGAGGCATTGCTCTGCCACGGCGGGAGCAAGCAACATCTTGCGGCGCTCTCTCCTTCCCTAACTGCACTGACCAGCAGGCAGATTTAATACCCTGCAGCCAGCAATGCATACCTGCATCGCCGTGCACCTGGGCAGAGGTGGTCCACCCAGTTCTCAGCCTTGCTAAGGCCTTGGTGCCTTTAGAGGTATTTTCCTGCTTAACCTCAGTTTAAGATACCTTCCTCTGCTGAGATTGCTGCTGGAGAGAGCCTTGGTAGGAAAGGACAGACCAGAAAATTAAGGCTGAAAAGTAAGGCTGGGGAAGGGAAGAGTCAGAGTGGACCAAGAGATGAGACAAAGGAATTTTGGATGCCAAAGGTGACAGACGGGGTGGAAATAGTTTTATAAACACGTGGGAGCATTTCCTTGGGGCAAGGAGGCAGCTCCTGAGCCCCTGACATGTCCAGCATCATGCAGATGGACCCCGGGGGAGAGCCAAACCTAAGCCCAGAGCTTTTCACACCCAACGTGGTACCCCTAAAAGGATGGGAGCAGCTGATGAGCAGGACATCAATCCCCAGCGCCCTCGGCTGAGCATGGTTTTGTTACATCCACAGCAGAACCACCCCCCCCCCCCCCTCCAGGTTTTTGGTTATTAAGCAACCTGGCTTTAGCATTGCTCTCACTAGACACTGAGATCCTGGCTCCTCAGCTCTCAAGCAGGACAGTAATTACACTTACTGCTGAGCGAGCTTTTGGGTAGGAGAGGGGGCTGGCCGGCACGCTTGCCCTGCTCTGGACGACAGCCAGGCTGGGGACAGTGCCACAGCCTGGGCCTGGGTGCCAGGCGGGGAGGGAAGGGGAGACCTACGTCCTCGCAGGACCTCGCGCTGCTGGTGCCCGACCTCTTCCTACTCACTGTGCACAGCTTGCGGACAGAAGGTCGTCTCCCGGTGTCTCTGAATACACCAGGGAAGCAGCAGGCTCAGCTCAACCATGCTGCAGCACCGGCAATGTTGCCTCCAGCATCGCCAAAGGAGACAACTATATGCCTCTTGCAGAGCTCCCAGAACACATCCACGTACCCCGTGTACATGGGCTGAGCATATGGCCCATCAGCACCTATCTATGTATTCAGTGTCATGCATCACTGCCTGAAAATCTGGGAAGACTTCCACGACATTTTCTTCCCTCTTTTCACCAGTGTTTGGACAACATGCCCCAGTCGGGACCAGCGTGCCCATGTTGAAAACCACTCTCGAAGCGTTTTGCCCTCCTTGGCTTCTGTGTTACACCCACAGCCCATTTACACACAAGGGCAGAGAAGCAGAAGAGCTGAACCTCTGTGCTCAGAAATTCAGAGCTGCTTCCACCAAGCTGGAGGGTTTCTTACACACGGACAATTTACAGATGGCAATTTTCTCCAGGAAGGGTGGGAAAAGGAGGGGAGAAGCAACCCCGTTTCTGCCCCAGGGACCCGAAGAGCTCTTAAACCTCTATTCAGTCAGAAGCACTATGAGCTACACCGCATGAAATCACTGCTTCACCAAAACATCCTGCAACCAATAACAGGACAGCCCGCTCTTGGGTAAAATTCAAAGAAGCTAGAAAAGGGACAAGAGGAAAATCCCTTGAAGGCATCTGCCAGGGAGAGATGCCCAGTGAGGAGCACTAACCTGTAGGAGCAGCTCGCCCTCCGGTACCGCTGCCAAGCCTGGAGCTGGTCCGTTGCCACAGTCTCCATCCCTCTCCACTTCTTTGGCACCGTGATTCTTTAGAGCAACTGCATGAAGCAAAGGGAAGGGACTTCAGTGCTGCAGTAACACACGCAAGCCAACCTCACGAACGTCCGAAACGTGGGCCTGGCTGCAAAGTTGGACAATGCTGTGCCAGGGGAAGCTGTGTTTTAGCCAGCCCTTTGCTTCACCCCTCAGAAGAGTTGAGGACATTTCCCCACACTCCAATACTCTCAGCTTTCACCCCCCCTATTTTTTTCCCCTCCCTAGACCTTTAACAACCTACAAGTAAAGAGCAGTTAAAGCCAGGGATCGTTAAAGCAGACGGGCATTTTGCTGATGCCTATGAGATCTTGTGTTTACCAGCAGTTACCTGCAACCAGTAGCACAAAAAGGACGTGTTCAGTGAGCTCATCAGCTGGAAATCTCTCTTATCACTTAGCAATAGCAACCATGGAGGTCCCCAGTCCCCATCTGGACATAGTCAAGGCCTCACACCACTCCTAGCAAACAGCAAGAGCCAGCCCTTGGGGCTACGTCATGCACACTCTTGGGGCATGGCAGCAGTTCTGCTCTTGCTGGGGGTAGTCACAGCACCCAGCACTTCTTTGAGACGCTGAACTAGAACAGATCAGCTCATGCAATTCCCCCCTCTGCAAAGGACAGAGCACCAACAGCAGCAAAAGTCTGCCCTACACAAAAGGCATCGCAGCAAACCCCACTCTTGCAGGACAAGGGATGTGCCGTTTTGAAGGGTACAATCCAGAGAGCCCTGTCAATGAAGTCTCGTCACAGTTCAGCAACACAGGGGGTTTATTCAATCAAATTAAGGCAAGCCACAGCTCACAGTGGGAAAAAACCAACACGGGAAAGTACACACATGGATACATAGACATCCAAGACCACAGGCAACCTAATAGTGATTAATGCACAATAAATATGGATGAGGAAATCTGTCACTTGGTTTAACTAAAAGATGTATCTGCAAATTTTATACTGTATTCCCCAAGAGAACAAATCCTGGGGATATTTTAGGGTGGATAGTATTTAAAGAGTAAGACAACAGCCAGACTGTGCATGGCAGGCCTGTCCAGGAGACAGTGGAGATTGCAGCAAAGCTGGGAAGCTTCTTGCAAGCATGGCAGGACAGAGGATGGCATTTGGCTGCTGATAAACCAGCAGGTCCCACCGGCACCTGGGAGCAAAGGTCTGAGGCACCAGCAGCAGCTACCACTGCGGCCTGCCTGGTGTGCTCCCTTGCTCCTGCTCAGAGAGAGCAAAAGCTCTTTTGAATTTGCCTTTCCCAGTTCCTGTGCTACACGTGCCAAGGAGCTGCCACGCTCAGATGTGACAAGAGCATCGAGTGGACCCTGGAAGTAATTTCACACCCCGTAAAGCTGTCAGCAGCAGCAAAGCCGCAAGCTGAGACAGAGCAGCAAGGCAGAAGGCACGACGCACTGGTCTTCTGTAACACTCGGCTTGTGTTTTGCTTTGCTTGCTTCCACCCCAAAGTCCTCTGCGTCCTCAGCGGGCATTTGCCAGGGTCTCACAGGTGGGTGGGAACAAGGAAGGATGCTGTGGTCTGCAGAGCCTCACTGGTACGCACACGACCCGAGGCTTTGGGGGCAAAATGTTCTTCCACCAGACACAAGACCATCCCAAAGAGCATAACCAAATGCAAAGTGCATCCCAGTTCTAATATTGCTTTTAATTAAAAAAAAAAAAAAAAAAAAAAAAAGAAAAAACCTGATATGGCAGCAAACCCCCAGCTTCTGGGAGGCCCAAGAAATTCCCCCTCAGGCTCAGCCTGCACGGATTATTTCAGGAGCTATTTGAACACCCAGGGGCTGACAGCCCAGGATCAAGGTTACAGTATGTCTTTGTGCGACAGCAGGTCAGTCCCGGGCACACTGGGGTGGGTGAACACGCACATGCTGCTGTGTCCCGACTGCTCCCCGACCCTGAACACCATCCTGCTGCTAGCACCGCTGCCCGGGGACCACCCGGGGTCCCCAGCCTGGGTCGGAGCCCGAGAAGCCTGCAGAAAGTCCCGGGCACGGGCAGGCCATCGGGCAGAGCAACACGCAAACCCGGCGGCCACAATGCCGAGGGGCAGGGTCCTGCGGGGTGGAGGGAGCAGGTTTCTGGCAGAGCCCTTCCAGCAACTTTCTTTTCTGATCCCTGGGAGCGAAATGTAGGAGCTATGAATTATTAAAGGTCTTCAGTCCTCCTCTGCTGGCTTCCAGACTGCTGCGCTTGAGGTGCAAGATAAAAATAAACCTGGATGATCGAAGAGCAGCTAAGGGGTGCTGCCCTCTACTCAAAGGTCTGGTTTAATGGTTTGCTATTTCCCTGCAAAAGGAAAACTTGATCACAACCACTGCCTAAAAATAGACTTTGCTATCAGCATCTGGGCTGCTCCTAAGCTGTGGGGCCAGAGGAAACAGAAGTTAAAATCAGAGGATGGCCCCGGGGGGGATTTCCCGTGACCTTCACCAAACAGCGCGTTTTTCCATCCAAGCCACCCAAGGATCTCCAAAGCTGACCCGCTCTTGGCTGCAGACATCTCGGGCTGGCCTCCCGCCTGGTGTCCCTCGGCTTTGTCTCTCCATAAATAGCCCCGTGCAGCCCCTCGGGTCAGCAATTCAGCAGAACTGTCACAGCGCATCAGCCTGATGGAGCGGAGAGGAGCCGGAGAGCGGCGGCGGCATCTTCCCCTCCTGCCTGGCTACCCCGGGCAGGGCAGGGACGGGGCGAGCTCAGCCTTCCCCAACACAGCGCTCGCCTTCGTGGTGGGCAAGGGGGACAAGGTGCAGGCTTCACCCTCGTTGTGTAACTGGGGGCAGGCATTCGCAGGAAAGGAAAAGAAAAAAAAAAAAAAAAAGTGGCTTTTTCTACGCTCCCTTCAGTCACCAGCATCACCTTTGCTGCTGGCAGTTGTGGAAGAAGGAAGGTGAGGAGGGAGAAGCTGGTCACCTGAAAGCAGCATGTTATTCCTGCTATTTCTTCAAAGAAAAAAAAAAAAAAAAAAAAAAAAAAAGAACAAACAAAAGCAGCTTCTGCCAGGACCTGGAGGCTATTTTGCCACAAAAAGGCTTTTAACTGTGCAAAAAGAAAATCTCTCCTCCTCCTGGCCTCATCTCTGAGGAACGAGCTTGCTTTCTGCACTGTGGTGGTCCTCACGCACAGGTGCCCGCATCGCTGGCCGGGTCCCAGGAGGGCTGAGGGGGCCAATGGGGGTGGGTTTCCCCCCTCCAACCCCCCGGAACAGCGCTTCCCCCCCGTGCCCAGCCTGGGAAGCTGTTTCACATGATGCTGAAGGGACACCTCACCAGGTTTGCTGGTGAACTCCTGAACCTGCCAGAGCTCTGCAGACCTGAGAAATCTCTACGCCAACAAGCGGGTATTAACATTTTTGAGAGGATATCTCCCAGCCCCCTTTCCTCCACACGGCGAAACCTCCAAGGGGGAGCAGAGATTTGCATCGGCCGCTGACTCTGAAGGAGGAAAATGAGACAACTTGGTCCCAAACCCACTCCAGACGTTGATGCAGGAGAAGCAGCAGAAGGAAACCCAACTGCTTCGTGGCTCTTCAAGGGCAGCGAGGGGTTGTGTCCCCCCCACTGCTGCTGTCATCATTTAGAGGCGAGAAAACACTGAACCCAGCTGCAAGTGATGGCAGGGACATCTGCATGGCAATTATTAGTCTGAGGAGGTCTTGGGTGGGGAGAGAGAAGAGGAGTTTTGGTAATGGTGCTCCCTGCAAGCATTCTGATGCAGGGCTCAATGCCCCAGTGCATATCAGTCACTCTCCGGGGGAAGGAGCAATTAGTTGATTTATTTATCAATGAAATTGCTTTCTATCCACCTGTCTCTTTCTGGCATTTGAGCCAATTCCCTGAAAAGCAGGTCTCCCACTCACATGGAAGTGAAAACTTTACCGTGAGGTATCTCCAGGTCTTCTACCCACCTCTCCGGCTCAGAGATGCTCATGGGCAGAGTCCTGCAACTCTGCTGCTCGGTACATAAGCTCTCACATTAAATAACCTTCCAAAATTGTTTTCCTGCATTTTATTGCAAAAAAAGAAACAAAACACTGGAAACTTGGAAAAAAAAAAAACAAACAAACAAACCTCTTTGTGTTTCTTTTGAATAAACTGGGTTTGTTTCACCTTTAATGTACATTCTAAATCTAGAAGAGTTGATTAAACAGAAAAGTGGTTTCCCCTCCCAAGTCAGAATGGTATTTTCAATTTAAAATAAATAAATAAAGGGGTTCCCCCCCCATAATTAAAAAGTTTTGCTGATGAGCTCACACGGGTCAAAGGAGCAGGCGAGTTCCCTTCCCTGCCACAGCAGCCTCGGGTCGCCCATGTCAGACATCACTCACCTCCTTCTTTCCCTTGGCTTGGCGGGGTCTCCCCCTGCTAACGAGGTCTTGCACTGCCTGATGGCACTGCTGGGGAGATCCTTCAAGACCTGCCACATCCACCCACAAGAGCAAGTGCGTCCACGTAACAGAGCCAAGGGAGAGCCCAGCTCCCTGACACGTGAATTCTGCAACGCTCCCGTGAAACCAGCACGATACCTTTCATTTCCACGGGTGGGAACCCAGCAGATGACGCAGCCGTGGCTCAGCGGGAGCATGCAATGCAGAGAACAACGGCATGATGCTAAGGGAGCAAAATTTGGCCCAAATGCCTTCTTCACTGGCACGCTCAAACCGGGGGAAAGCTAAACTGCTGTTGGGAAGGCAGGCGAAGCACTGCAACCTCCTCTCTGGCTTCTCCGACGGCATCTGCACTGTCAGCATGCCAAATCTGATCGTTGCTCTGTCATCTAATCCACATGTTTCACAGCAAGCTTACACATCTCCAACTATTTTGAGAAGCAAAGAACAGGAACATGCACTTAGTAAAGTATATCCTATTCTGTTTTGTTTTGTTTTGTTTTGTTTTGTTTTGTTTTGTTTTTTTTTTGTCGTGTTGAGCATGGACTGAGCTCTTCCTAGCCAATGGTAAATTATTCCCCTTCCACATACAAGGGA